GCAGTGAATGGAACGCTGCCAATAATATAAAGTGCTCTTGAGTTCCACGCCTTTCCATTTACGGCTTCCTTTTAACTTAATTGCAATTATGAAACTGACATTTACAGTCAATTAGCGTAACTTTTGCGTCTTGCTATAGACACACAATATTTTGTAAAAATCCACTTTGGCTAACATATTTTTCCGGATGTGATATTCTTATATCATCCATAAAATTGTTGTCATATCTACAGTTTTAGTAAAACACACACACATACGCATGTTTGTTGTACATACCTAGTGTGTACATTCCTTTGTTTTCGTGTAGTTAAGAAAAACCAGTGAATTTTTTTTTTCTCAAACAGTGAAAACTCTTTCAACCCGATTTTTCTCTATGATTTCCTTTAGTGTTTCTCTTCATTTTGCCACGGATAAACCTAACCCAAAAATGCCTCAAAACCTGTTTTCCAGAGAGGGGAAACCTTGTATGGACGTGGGCAAGTCCACACAACGTCGCTGCTACATGGTTTATCGGAAGTCCACACATTGAATGTAATGCTTGTCGCTTACACCCACAACTAGCAAACGCACGAAGGAGGAAGTAATAATGTTACTTCTTAGTGAACAAATACAGTAATTTAAAATGTGGTTAGTTTGTATTCTCCTTCACAGTTTGAATATCCACAAACAAATTCAAAGTTAACTTTGAATATGAGAGGTTGGGATTGTCCGGAGGTTGAATCATTTTCACTGTGATCGAAATATCACTCCCTGTAGATATCCATCACTGTATTCTGGTATAGCGGTACCAAAATTCGCAAACTTATTTTGGCTAATCATCAGTCATGGCCAAACAAAACCACTAACAATGTTTTACAAAGGATGTCAAAGCTAGCAAAATATTTAAAAAAAAAAACCAGGTGTGTCGGGGAATTGCCGCCCCTAGTTTTAATGAAGGCTCATTTTGTAAAGAGATATTCGTGTTAATAAATTACATTGGACAACAGAGAACTTTTGTGTGGAGTCTCTCTTCGTCACAGTCGAAAACACAGCTACACACAACTGTTAATTCATGGCTAATTAACTCCCCTACCATACAATTAATCATGGACTGCGCTGGGCTTACTGTATAGAAAGTTTTTACGAGTTAATCGGGGTCCTTCTGACGTCTCCTGTGATACATTGCCTGCACTCCTCCCTGCTTAACCCCAACCAAACGATCCTTTACATGGATTGCAATTAGGAAGCAACACTGTCTCATCAATTACACGCTGATGTCCTTCATTGTCAAGAGCACTCCTAGGTTTCATCGAGACGACAGTATAGAATCAGACTTTCCAATGATCATCTTGACTCAAGGGCGTTGTCATGGATCTTCTGAGATGGATATCATACACTATCCATCTCACTGGAGTTAGTTTGAGTGGATCATGTGACTTTGTCGCGATGTCGTCTTAACATAGAAAGCGCGGTTCGGAGGAAGAGAAATGTGTCATTACTACGTTTAAATGGCCCATGTAATGTAAAAAAATTAAATAAATGCCTTTATGCAATCCTTGAAAATGCACCATTGTGTCCCATATAGCCTTATTTTAAATTTTCATTAGGCAATTTTTAAGGGTATTTTCATGAGCAAAAGTGTGATGTCATTTTTAGTAGAAACTTCAATGTTACAGCTATTTCAGAACCAAAAGTTTCCAGATTTTTTGATATTTTGGTATTGTAAATTTCTGTTCTTTGGTGAGTCGTTGTTGCGTCAGTACATGCATGGCAGTATACCAATGAGCAAACTTTTCTCAAAAATGTTTTCAATCAGCAATTTTTTGGGCTCACAAAATATGTTCCAACAAGTAACATTCATGTCATTTTTTTTTTTAGAGTTTCATGCATACCGAGATTTGTTTGAAAAAATTGCTATTTTCTATAAATACAAGGGTTATATACATTTTGAATGGGACGTCGGACCAAAAAAAAAATCGCCTCACGATTACGAATTATTTGTGGCGAACCAATAAGTTAGTTCTCGCAGGGTTAGACGTGTTCCTGCCCCTGTAAGAAAAGAAGATGTCGGGACAAAGAACCAGTCCACTCCTGGATCTGTTTTGCGCAAGCGCAACCCCGAAACAAAAGCCTTCCTTCAGAATCTTGCGGATCCCCCTGAACGGGCCGGGGGGGGGGGGGGTTCATGAAATTTAATAAACACGATGAACAATTATTCAGCAACAGAAAAAATGTGTTGAACAGCACGGACTAATCAGTGGCGCACCCAGGATTTGCTGGGGGGGGGGGCTCACAATTTTTTTTTTTGTTCAAATGTTTTAGAAGTTTTTTTTTTTTTCAATAACATTTTGTCCAACATTTTTGGCCACAGAATTTTTTTTTTTTTGGGGGGGGGGGACTTTTGACGTTGGTGGCGCCACTTACACCCCTATTATACTACTCGAAAATAGGCCACATACATGTCACCAAGGTCAAATCGTGGGAATAAAAAAAAAATACCAAAAAAACCCAATATTGACAACCTCTTGGGGGCTCAAGGCCCCCGAGGGCCCCCCCCCCCCCCCCCCCCCCCATTGGGTGCGCCACTGACGGACTTTACATTTTGCTGTTTTTCCGGCAAGGGACTAGGTAATTCGAACGCTGCGTCAGTTATTTATGAATGATTCCTCTTCAGTCTTCTATCATTTTCTTGTCTCCTATTTCCCTCTTACATTACCATTGCGATAGCAAGCTTGAATTTCTATTCCCGTTAATTCGACGTAATTTAATTATGTGTAAAACACAGACTTAACTACCGGACTATAAGAGGGGCATCCTCATGCAAGATGTATATACTGACTCATCGTCACCTTTTGTTTAGACTGTATAAACCTCGCATGATCATACCCCTCTTAGTCGCATCTGATAGATGTAGCTACGAAAGCTAATGCAAACTAATATTCTTGTTGGAGTCATTTTAAGTGCTACCGTTCTTTTACATGTGTTAAGTACCGGGGAAAATCGTTAGGAATTTTCTTTACAAAATTAAAATTTGATGATTTCGCATTTTTTTCTTCATTTTGCCATATTCTTGGATAAAAAAAAAATTATTAGTAAACGTGTTAGCATCTATTTGTGATTTTGTCCCAGATATCTCGTACTTTAAAGCGCCTTGCCCTCGAGGCCCTAAATTGACATAGTTTCCGATATCTTTCTAGAATTTCGATAATTTGGTAGACGTTTGTATGACAACTCGCCGATGTATACGTGCACATCAATTCTGAAATCTCTATCCACCCCTTTTTTTCCGACTGGGGAATTGTTAAACTTCTTGACATTTCGTTAAACAAAAAACAGTACATCGGTTGTAAAAATGTTACGGGATTGTTTTGCACCGTGATCAATGTCTTGGCAAATAGAGGAGTCGCTTGTTAATATAACCCAGGCTAATGGATTATTCGAAATATTTCAATGGCCCTGCTCTCTGCCGTTAAAAAGTGTGTAGAAAATACGTGATCAAAAGAGAACAACATGTTGAAAATGAGGGGACGTTTCGATTTACTGTCGCAAAATAAAATCCAAGATTAACATCTTGCTCAAAAGGCTGTTTATATAACAAGACTGATTCCTTATCTTCACCAGCGCTGGTGTGCCTCTCCCCCTGTACTTAATCCCCCTTGGTTTGTCCCCCGCTTTAATCCGTCCATTGTTCGTTCTTCTACTCTTTTCCCTTTGATCTTCACCCACATTGGTCCGTTCCAATAATTATTTAATCCCTCTTTTGTGTTTCTCCTTCCAACCCTCCATGATTGTGAATCCCTACATGTTTGTTTCTTGTATCTCTGTCATTTTGCCTCTGCAGCAGCTCTTGTTAAGATCGAAACGTCAGGCTGCTTTACTATTATTATTATTATTATTTTTTTTTTTTTTAATAAGACTGAATTCTAAGACAAATTGAAAACAATCTCCATAGGCAAAAACAAGGTTAGATATACAAACTGCGCCTAAATTGCTGATCCAATGTATTAGGTTAAAGGATTTTATCGATGTGATATTTGATCAGTGTCATTTCGAAGAAAAGATTACATTATTTTCCCTCCCCCTTGTTAGTTATATATGTATGTATTTATTTGGGGAGGGGGCTAAAACACTTCAAGCCACTGAGTTGGTTTCTGTATTCAATAGGGGACGTTGAACAACAGAGGACAATACGGTCTACAATTCCCGAAGTTCCACGATTGACGATCGTGTACAAAACATATGGGAGGTCTTCCTGAAAGTTAGAGTACAAACAAAAGAGGGACAATAGGGGGTGTTACAACTGATAATGTAGTAACCAACGGATAATGTATCACCAACCGATAATGTCACACAAATTTACCGATACTGTTTCACTAACCGATAATGTAACAGAAATTGACCGAAAGTGCAGTAAATGTTACTACACTATCGGTCAATATTTGTTACATTATCGGTTAAGACCGATGATGTAACAACAATCGACTGATAGTGTAGTACAATTTTACTACACTTTCGGTCAATTTCTGTTACATTATCGGTTAGTGATACATTATCGGTCAATTTGTGTGACATTATCGGTTTGTGATACATTATCCGTTAGTTACTACATTATCAGTAGTAACAGGGGGTCCACGATTGCGGGTGAATACACACTTGTCTGCGTTAGTGTTAACTTTTACAAACTACATAAGTGACGCTTCATTATTATGAAGTCTTATGTAAATGCTAAGGATTGAAAAGGGATAATGGATACAGACTTGGAATTAAGGGACTGATTACATTTTGTGCTGTTTATTTCAACAGCGCCAGTTTTTTTTTTAACACATTCACACAATTATTTTTTTACCAATATCTTTTTTCATACAAATGGAAACCATTTTTCGTTAAGTCATTCTCATTTCATTGTTGACTCTTAAAACCTACCGTTAAATAATTTGCCAAGTTTGTGGTTAATTTAGATCTAAAATATTTCTTTTACACACACACACAAAGAAAAGTATACATGTATATTAAATTCTTACCTTTCGAGGAGAATCTTTCGATTGATGTCTGGGCACTCGCTAAAAAGTCAGAAATACAGCGATGTGGTGGCCGTCACAGCTCGGAATGAAACTCTCACAAGCGGGCTGCACTAGATTATGTTTAGATTTCACAAGAGCAGAATTTGGTCCCAAGAATTTGGCCGAGAAAGTTGAGATGAAATCACCTTGATTATCACGCTCCGCCAAGACAGGTAAATAAGAAGTTGATTAGGTATGGGTCGGTATTGTACAGCAGATGCCAGGATGTTGCGATGTAAGTCAAAAGTGGCTAAGGAAGAGAGAATGGTCAAAGCGACGCTAGATCACATCTACCTTAGGCTGCATGTGGTAGGAACCGCGCACACGCCAACACTGACGTATGAGAGTTAACCAATGAAAACAAGACGCCAACCTAAGCATGCGCTCCAAATTCAATTATAGCCCACACGGTAATACCTAGCCTGCGCATCGGAAGTCTATGAAAAGGTCCTTATATGTGACTGTGGAGTTCAAATAAGTTTGTCTCTGGTAAATTAATGGCAATTTCTTTCCTCCCCCTTGGTGATGGGGCTCCGTGACGAGCACTCGTCCAAGAAACGATGACTTTTGTCTTGCTGAATAATTGAACTTCTTGATGCTACGTGATAAATGAGCAATATGCGGAGTAAGCGGGAGTCGAGAAGGCTCAGTGAGTCCTTGAACGGATCGGTTGTAAGTGGGAGGAATGACTACCGGTCATGCGTGACCTATCCATCAGGATAATGATGCAAGCATTGTTCCGCGAAGGACTGGAATTAAGCCCAAATTTATATCTTGAAAATAATTGCGCGAAAACCAAAAAAAATACGTAAGGTCATTTTATCTACACGTTTGTCTATGCATATGGAAGGAAAATAAAAGGTATTGGTGAAGAGAGGAGTGAGGATAAGGAAAAGCGATGATCGGTATGGGTCGGTTCAGACAAACATGGAATCTATAGAATTGTGAGGAAAAAGTGAAGCAGAAACAGATTGGTGGTTTGATCGTAAACATAGGGGTCAGCACAGAACGGAAGAAATTAAAAGGTCCGTGAAATATACATGTATATACAGGGAGAAGAGATCATTTAGTCAACTATGGTACCGTGAAAAAAGTGCTCTCGATTTCGTGAAAAAAAGTACTACTGATGCAGGGAAATATCTCATTTTGTTTATATCATGGATGTTTGCTGGAGTGTACGATTTGTCCAGATGTTTAGCAGCGCTTACTTTTGTTTGTTTTGTTTGATACATTTCTGGAGTTCGAATAAGGGATCCTGAAACGGAGAGAATCAAGAGTTACGGTGCCTCGTTTTTTTTCGCGGGAAACGGTCAGATTTTGGCGTAGTAGGCCAATTCTTCTTCTTCTTCAAGACCCTATTCCATCAATTCTGATGGAATAGGGTCTCGTGTGGCGTATGCTAAGTACCATACCAGTGCGCGTTGGCAATGTCTGCCGAGTAGCCTATATGGCGCCATCTACAGTCCAGTTCCTTCCATCTACAGTTCCTTAGATAGGGTGCGTTCGTTTAGCTCACCCGGGTCGACTCGGGTAAAGGCAGACGGGTTAGCCACGACAGTCCGGCTATAATCGAACGCTAAACCGCCGGCCATCACGATCCTCACGTGACGCCCGTAGCAACGGCCATCATGGCCGTAGCCACAGACAAAAACGCCCGTTTCGGATTGGGCCTTAGTTTGAGAGTTACTGCTTTTTCAGTCGGCTGGAATTATAGCCTCAAAAGTCGCAATGAACTCAATAAACTGATTACGTTTAGACTTGAAATAAAGCTATTTTGTTAAGTCCACTTGACATTTCCGCCGTCTGGCCGCCATATTTATTTTGTCCGTGTCATGGAATGAACAACGCATGCGTGTGACGTATTTCCACCACTCTGCTCCGACCAGGGTCTGTGGTGGCTGACCCGAGTGTGCCACGAGAATGACGTCAGAGCTTATCGAACGGCACGGAGCTGACCCATGTCGACCCGGGTGAGCTAAACGAACGCACCCAGTTATGACGTTAGTACTTTTAGTTTTGGTTAAATGCAATTTTTGAGTTTCATGCCGAAAAAGTTGATTCCTTTTCTAAATTGATATTTTTTTGAATGAGTACTTAACAAATTCGAAATATTGGCTGTTTGATAATAATTCTGTGTTCACAGGGAGAGGTCTTTTGGTGGAATCAAAGACAAACGTTTAAAATGTTTAGTAGGGCAAACAAAATCGATTTTGTTGAGCACGGGGATGAACGTAACTGTAACTGATTTTCATTTTGATTTTCACAGCACGCCTCTCGTATAAGACATTCCTCCTCATATGCATAAACTTAAAACAATCATGTAGCAAGAATGAGAGAGGATTAAGTCTGTAAAAGATTCCAAGTAAACCAGTTCAGACCAATGCCATTTTATTGTGCACAACTTTTACAACCATTAGTTGTTTCATTCAATTCAATTTACTAAATGTTTATTTCAATACTTGTAACTTGTGGTCAACAAAATTATATAGCAATATTGCATTATACGTTACGTAATGCAAAGAGACCAAAAACCTTGCTAGGGAAAGCCTGAACAATTATTGTATACAGTACATTCACAATATTTTGTAACAGAAAAGTATTAAAAATATAACATACAAATATTTTATCATTTTCAAGTGCACCCCCGAAGGACACGACAGACAGCCATATAACCGCCCAAACGGCAGACATCTGATAAATAAGATCTACTTGGCATATGATCGTTTCTGGTACATATCTTTGTCATTTTTGTTCATAAATTCAAACTACCCCACCTCCATCTATTGTCGATTTTATGTTCGTCACTCCCAAAGGGCGTGGGTTTTGATATCATGCATTGTATAGTGGAAAAGCAATATCGAAGTTGACTGCTTTTGTCGATGAGGGCGCTACGTATAGGCCTATTCAAGAACCAGCCCAATTAGCGCGCTCCCACAGGATATTTTTATATCATCGCGCTGTCAATGTAAATTTGTTGATGAAAATGGCTTGTCCATTAAAAAAATCCTTAACAGTTGTCAAGGTGATGTTGACGTCACTGCATCATGAGTTCATCACTGCCGTGCCTGTTGTCGTTTCAGTGCAATTCGAGGCACCGAATTCGACTCGTGATTCCAGCGTTTCTGACCAATCAACTAGCCTTTGATCTGAGACCGATTGACTTCATTTTGTCTATTTAATTAACTAATTCATGGCCAAATGGTAGAGGGTGAAGAAAGAAATAAAATGTCCCTATTATTCCTCAATATCGACAGTATTTTTCCAGGCGAATATCTTTTTTTCTTCTTATTAGACGTACGTACTATTAGTACTTACTGAGGTTGATGTAGATACAGTAACAGAGTGTGCACATGAGGGCGCAATTCATACAGCATTGACAGAGCCAAGGCCGGCCAGGGCAGCATGTTTCGACAGCAATTTATACTTGATACTTGGGACGATTAGGGCCTGAGATGATGCATAATTTCCTTAAGATATTATTTAAATGATCTGTTTGAAGAATTTTTGTACCAAATTTCTTTACGTATCAGGGATGGCTTGATAAATACGGTCGCATCATATATAAATAAAGACAAACTGGATGCCTTACACTGTACAGCACTTCATTTGATCAAGAGTATGTGACATGGACCTTTATCAATCATAATAGCGCCCTCTATCATCAATTTTGACTCCGTCGGAGTGTTGAAATGACGGAATGTTATAATTGGTATCATTAATGGGTGATGGGGTTGAAACCATTTCTCACAACAATTGCTTATAAACGTGTTTTTTTTTGGGGGGGGGGTGGCAATAAAAAGTTACTTCGCGAAGTTTCAGAACGATGGCGTCATTATACTGCAGGGGCGGCGGAACCGGGTGGTGGGGAGGGGGGCACTTCCCCCTCCCCCCAGATTTTCCCAGGCCAACAAAAGTGCCCCTCTCGCGGTTATATTGTGCCCCCTCGAGATGAAAACAAAACTGCCCCCAAATGTTCACGTTTAGATCGCACTACATATATAATTGTCTCCTCTCTTGTAATGCAAAACTGCCCCTCAAAAAACACAAGTACCCCTCTCGCATTAACAAGATTGTGCACCTTCTCGAGATGGAAAACTACCCCTCTTAAGCACAAATACCCCTCTCTAAATAGTAAAATTGTGCCTCTCTCGAGATGGAAAATTGGCCCCTAACAAATAGTAGCGCTCTTCACGCGAATAAAATTGTCACTGAACTGGCCATCCAAAGCAGCAGTACAGTGCCCCTCTCGCGATACATAACTAGGTTATAGCAAAATGAACGGCGATACATAACTAGGTTATAGCGAAATGAACGGGACCATATTCTTTCCCCCCACTTTCACACCCACGGAAGGTGCCCTTTTTTCTGAGCAAGTGCCCCTTTTTGGTGTACCCCCCCCCCCCCCCCCCCCCCCCCCAGTTTGAAAGGCGCTCCGCCGCCCCTGTCATACCGGAAGTTATTGTTGGGAGAATGTGGGGGGAAAATGATAAGTTTCTGCGTTTTTTTAAAATTAAAACACTATACCATTTTGGATCATTGTTGCCACAATAATGATGTCAGCAACATTATCGAAGATGGGCATCCTTATTCTGTGACGTCATCAAACCCGAAGGTAGTTGTAATCAATGCTTACACATATGCTTTCGTGCTATTTATTATTTTTCAAGAATTAATTCTTTTCACTTACCTTGCATAATGTAACCTGTCTAAACTAAATCAGTATTCTTTTGCACTTTTTTTAACTGATGACGTCATAAAATCAGAAGTATTTTGTAAATAAAATGAATAATGAAATGTATCTATCCCAAAAGGATGCATTTGCTCGAATTAATAAATAGACTGAACAAGATCAGATTTTATACATTCCCTGTTTTGCATTATTGCAATTGGACAATTCGCGTCCCATCACCCTGCGTTTGTCTCCCCCCCCCCCAAAAAAAAATCTAGTTAGAATTAAAACTGAACATGTTGCTATCCAAATGCTTTTTAATCGTTTTCTTTATAGAAGAATTTAGGTAAGTTCTTTTAAGCCGTACAATGCTTTACATTTATGTAATGATTTGACTTATAAAGTTATCTGAGGTAATCCTTATTTACGATGTTTTCCTCTTTTTTATTTTTAGTATACATTAATTAGCGCTTTACAGTTTTCATGATGAAATGTAAAAAATGAATGGGTTGTGGTTTTTTTCCTATATTGGATCTATTTTGTCGTGTTCGCCACGTTATGCACGCACCAGAAACGCGAATTCGATGAATGTCACAGTTAGAGCGCCATCTTGTTTACAAAATCTCATTGAGAGTCTCCACAACACCCAAGGGCAAAACGGCACTTCAAAATACAAAATTATTAAATTGTTACATCAAAGCATTGGAAGGTCATGGCATTCTCCTTGTATCAGTAAGATAGCTGGAGTAAAAATCTGATGCTGTGGCTTTTTTTCTTTCATCAGATCTTCAAGTCCCGTAGGGTAGTTTCTTCTAGTCTTGACAGCACACAAGGGG